GTCTGATAAATATACAGTACTTCAGTTAATAGATCTCTATATCAGTGTCTGATAAATATACAGTACTACAGTTAATAGATCTCTATACCAGTGTCTGATAAATATACAGTACTACAGTTAACACATCTCTATATACCAGGGTCTGATAAATATACAGTACTACAGTTAATAGATCTCTATACCAGCATCCCATCAAATATTCATTTACTAACTTAACAGAGACATCCATACCAACATGCAATCAAACCTTAAGTGGTTTGAGAAGTAGAACTCCTACCTGATCTACTCAGCGCCTCCTTGTGGAAGCGGTCAATCTTATGTCTGGCCCGCATGGCGAGGTCACTGTCAGGAATGTACTGGGTAGAGAACAGCTCTAGTGTGTGAAGGCAAGGATAGTCCGGCTCCTCGCGGAAATCTTCTGAATATGTGTCTAGCCATACTGAAATCACCGACTTCACTGTCCTGCCATAGAAATGGTTTTCTCTTTGAAACTATTCACAAAACACAAGGCTTATTTTAAACCGTACACTTACATACTTTAAACCTTCATCAGAAACATGTTGTAAATGAAAGTGTTTGACATTATATAAGAGTACTGTAGTTTAGTCCTTACCTCTGTTGGATCTCCTGGAGTTCCTTCCTCTCCGTGCATTCCTGTCCACTTAACTTTAGCCATTTGTACCTGAAAATCACAAAGAAAACAACATGTAGAGGGTTTTTTTCATGAATTCTTTTTTTCAGATTATAAACTTGTAGTTGCCTTTCCATCTCAATAGCTATAATTCTAACCTCCTGTGATGTAGAAGTGAATCTAAGAAATAACCTATGTATGTCTGAACTAGACAGGACTGTGGTACTGACCGTTGGATGAGCTGGTCCAGCACCTGTCTGGGCGTGGCGAAGGTGCGGTAAGTTGCCAGGAACACGTTCACATAGGTTGAGTCCAGCTCCCCCTTGACTGTGACCAGACTTTCTACCAGCTTCTCCAGCGTTCCCGCCTTGATGACCCGCGTCTTCTGAGTTTCCCACATGAGGTGGGAAAACTCACGCCCTTGTTCATTGTCAGCCTAAAAGTACAAGGTAGGAAAGCTCATGACATTGCACATAGTTGCCCTCGGGCAAATATTCGGTTTGTAATCCATTGGTTAATTTTGATCACATGGCAACCCCCTTCAAAACCTTACTGGGGTCAATAGGTAACCATTTGTAGGGGACCAGTAACATAATCTGTATATTAGTGAACTATTTAAAGGATCTCGATGTGACAAATTCATTGAACGGTTTTGTATGGCCTTGCCTTATTTGGGTTTCAGTGACAGACCATACAACTAATACTACTAATGTATAAGCTGAGAAAATTAATGACATTGTTCATTGTGAGTCTCAAAAAATAAGCTTGGAAAACTCATTGCTGTAAAATCACCATCCGAGGCCTCAATCATACAGTGCATTATTTTGTGATATTTTATAGGAAATCAAAGAAGAGCCAGTAACCTTTTCCCCTAGATGTAAATATAGTGTAATGTTGGGATTAATCTGAACCTCCTGCACTGCTGCGTAAATATGCTCTCAAATGCTGTTCCCGGGGGAACCCTCTATTGCCTTGTAAACATCTCTTGATTGGTGTAAAATCTACGAGATAGACAAACAGAAATAGAATGATACACCAAGTCTTCATCAGCCTGAAATATTGTGATGTTAAAAATAGGTTTGAGTAAAACAAGACCCAGATATGGGGTTAATATTGGATAACTGTTGAATGTCTGGGTAGACTGCTGAGGAAGTATATCACAGGGGTCACAGTCTACTAGTCTACACAGCCAATACCTCTCTATCACACCAATATACTAGTCAACACAGCCAACACCTCTCTATCACATCAATATACTAGTCTACACATGCTACTGTAACTAGTACTAACAGCCTCCCAGTCTAGGTAGACTATTGGACCTGTAGTACTGACAGCCCCCCAGTCTAGGTAGACTATTTGACTTGTAGTACTGACAGCCTCCCAGTCTAGGTAGACTATTGGACCTGTAGTGCTGACAGCCTCCCAGCCCACTCAGACCACTGAACTTGTAATGGGTATATACATGTAGCCACTGTAATGGGTATATACATGTAGCCACTGTAATGGGTATATACATGTAGCCACTGTAATGGGTATATACATGTAGCCACTGTAATGGGTATATACATGTAGCCACTGTAATGGGTATATACATGTAGCCACTGTAATGGGTATATACATGTAGCCACTGTAATGGGTATATACATGTAGCCACTGTAATGGGTATATACATGTAGCCACTGTAATGGGTATATACATGTAGCCACTGTAATGGGTATATACATGTAGCCACTGTAATGGGTATATACATGTAGCCACTGTAATGGGTATATACATGTAGCCACTGTAATGGGTATATACATGTAGCCACTGTAATGGGTATATACATGTAGCCACTGTAATGGGTATATACATGTAGCCACTGTAATGGGTATATACATGTAGCCACTGTAATGGGTATATACATGTAGCCACTGTAATGGGTATATACATGTAGCCACTGTAATGGGTATATACATGTAGCCACTGTAATGGGTATATACATGTAGCCACTGTAATGGGTATATACATGTAGCCACTGTAATGGGTATATACATGTAGCCACTGTAATGGGTATATACATGTAGCCACTGTAATGGGTATATACATGTAGCCACTGTAATGGGTATATACATGTAGCCACTGTAATGGGTATATACATGTAGCCACTGTATCCTCCTCTGATGATGATGATGAACCTGTTGTACTGCTTTATCAGACCAATTATCTCTATAATCTATGTTTTCTTATAACACAAGTGTAACAGGTTTGCACTAGAGTTCTAGTACAATCTCTATAATCTATGTTTTCTTATAACACAAGTGTAACAGGTTTGCACTAGAGTTCTAGTACACTACACAGTTAATACCCCTCCTCCCTAACCCCCTCCTCCCTAACCCTCCCTAACCCCCTCCTCCTCCCTTACCCCCTCCTCCTCTCCTACAGCCTATACTACTCAGCACCAACATGTGGTGAGTTTAAGCCAGGACACCTCTAGCCCTGTTAAACTAACCAAACCTTCCTCACAATAGTCAGCATCCGAGATGTTCTACAGATAAGAATGTCAAGATTATTTATATAGTGATATAGAAGATACACACACATATATATCATACAAGTAACTTATTTTTTGTCTTCCTAAAGCTGTATAGCTTTAAGTAGTGTGTACAAACATCAGACTGTATTTAATTTTCCCAATAAAATTTTGTGTACATACACAGAGTCTTCAAATCTTCTGTCAAAGAAGGCAATCAGACCTTGAAGTGCTTTATACATACAACATGAAATGTGTTCAAAACTGGGCCTAGGATTGCTCTGGAGCACTCTGGAGTTAATAAAAAGATCCTTACATAATATCACACTGCTGTCGTATATATGTTTAGATTATACTGATCCTTACATAATATCACACTGCTGTCATTATATGTATAGATTATACTGATCCTTACATAATATCAAACTGCTGTCGTATATATGTATAGATTATACTGATCCTTACATAATATCACACTGCTGTCGTATATATGTATAGATTATACCGATCCTTACATAATATCACACTGCTGTTGTATATATGTATAGATTATATCGATCCTTACATAATATCACACTGCTGTCGTATATAGGTATAGATTATACTGATCCTTACAATAACTGCTGGTGTCATAATATAATAAGGACCACTTAACAAGTTATATTAGCCTCAGAATACAACATCATCATATAATGGAATACTGGACTGGACTGCAGACTGACAGACAAATGAATGTACATACCAACCCTGGCAGGGTAGCTAATGATAACAAAGACAGTCTGGTCGATATGGATGACAGACAGATGGATGAACAGACATACACCCCTGGTAGGGTAGCTCACCACAACAAAGAAAGTGTAGACTTGAGGGATGACAGACAGATGGACAGACATACAAATGACAGACAGATGGATGGACAGACATACACCCCTGGTAGGGTAGTTCACCACAACAAAGAGAGTGTAGACTTTAGGAATGACAGACAGATGGATGGACGGACATACACCCCTGGTAGGGTAGTTCACCACATCAAAGAAAGTGTAGATTATAGGAATGACAGACAGATGGATGGACGGACATACACCCCTGGTAGGATAGTTCACCACAACAAAGAGAGTGTAGACTTTAGGAATGACAGACAGATGGATGGACGGACATACACCCCTGGTAGGATAGTTCACCACAACAAAGGGAGTGTAGACTTTAGGAATGACAGACAGATGGATGGACAGACATACACCCCTGGTAGGATAGTTCACCACAACAAAGGGAGTGTAGACTTAAGGAATGACAGACAGATGGATGGATGGAGGTACAAGCTTGGTAGGGTAGCTCACCACAGCAAAGAGTGTGGTTTATATAAAGCTGGGGTGCAGCCCCTGTATAAAAGAGCACCAGAGAGGTGATAGATATGTTTGTAGTTTCCTACAATTATCTGGAGCTGAGGCAGAGGGTATGAAATGAGCATGTGTTGTTGATTACATCATCACAAATAACACTCCATAGGACTGAATACACAACAAATCCTTCTGATAGAGTAACCAAACATACTGTTTGCTTCCTTTCGTTTTCAATGACTTATCCCGGACGGTTGATGAGAGATACAACCCCGCCTTTCTATGGTAGTCTTCCTTTAGAAGCCTGGGTTCTGCTGAACCGTAGGTTTATAAAGTAATATGAAGAACTAACCTACAGCACTACCCACCTAATGCATTCCATATAATGAGCTATTCACAGATCTATTTCCCATCATGCTCCTGTCTGAGTCAGCAACATGTATACAGAAAATGACTTTGCAATGTTCTAATGTGATTCGTTTTACGTGTGATGTTGCATGGCTTGAGCAGTTTTACACCTCCGAGCACTAAAGGTGAGACAAGCTCCAACACAGTGTCTGCTGTAGTTTGCTCTTCTTCAAAAGTTGTGCTACATGTTCTGAGGGGAATTCACAACACACAAAAACTAAGGTGATGGGTTCACTGGATTTTCTGAGTCATATACACAAGCTGCATTCCCAATCAAACTTATATATAAGTCATCGTTACACAGTTAATGGAACAAAGTCAGAATAATGGTTTCCCCAGATTTTTAGATAAATAAGGCAATATTTCTCACATTTACAGGAATATATAACTTTACATGAGAATCTAGAATGGATCATTGCCTGCACTTTTGACACTGTACCTGTTCTTGTGTGGCTAGTTCCTTTCTTATGGTATAATACTCACTCCAAAAAGGGACATGGAATAACTATCGAGTTTCTGACTATGTATGGTCTCTGTTCTTGAGGAAGACATAGCTGATACTGTCACCAGGAATAACCTGGAGCAGATAAACTCTGCTGACATTTGACCGTACACAGTCTGTTTCTTGAGGTACACATTGTGATATTTTACCCCTCCCATCCTTGTCAACACTGATCTAAAGCAGAGAATGAGATTTGAGTTTTGACAGTGTTTTGGTCCCCAGTGTGGTCAGGAATAATGGGTAGACAACTCTACCAAAGAAAATAAACAGAGATATCTATACTTACATCTGACAAGGGAGATAACTATACTTACAACTGACAAGGGAGATAACTATACTTACAATTGACAATGTGTGATAGGTTACTTTCTTGAGGTAGGCATTGTACACGGCCCCTTCTTCTCTCTCCTCCCGCCAGAATCTAGTCACATCATCCTGAAAAACATTTCAAAATGTCTAAGTTCTATGTACGTAAAACAGTACGAATTGATTCATGTGTCGCTTCGCATGATCAGCTTGCTTAGATTGTGTGGAGGAGGGTTGTCTCAAATTTATTTTTCTTTATTTTTTTTAGAATTTTTAGCTGTTGATTTGAAATGAAGTTAATATCTCTATTGAGCTGAGACTGAACATTTTACTGTTATCTACGATCATGACGATGGTTGAGAGATGCTCAAGATATTCATCTTTCCATGTGCATGTATCTAAACACGAGACAGCACAGTGATTAGAGAATACAGGACTCTGATAATGGCTTCATGTGCTTGAGCTTATTTAATTAGTGTCCTTTTGTTCCGTGTCGTATTGTAGTACATGGCGACTTGAACCACTTACAGGCGACCTAGGTCCTGGTACTGTCTGTATAAACAACAGCCCTCATGCAAAACTCCACAGAACGAGTCCCACTACACCCAATACCAGGCGCTCACTACACCCAATACCAGGCGCTAAATACACCCATGGCCAGGCCTCACTACACCCAATACCAGGCCCTCACTACATCCATTACCAGGCGCTCACTACACCTAATACCAGGCGCTCACTACCCCCAATACCAGGCGCTCAATACACCCATTACCAGGCGCTCAATACACCCATGACCAGGCCTCACTACGCCCAATTCCAGGCGCTCAATACACCCATTACCAGGCGCTTACTACACCCAATACCAGGCGTGCACACACACTGACCTGATTAGGGTTACGAGACCCCCTACACCCTATACCAGGAGCTCACACACACTGACCTGATTTTATACCGCAGAGCCACCTTACTCAGTTGTTTATGAAATGACGTATGTGTTTTAAATAAATACCCATCCTACAGCTGTCTACGCACAAACATCAAACTTGGTAAACAAGTATGGTTTGGAATACAAATTAGTTTGGTGGTTATATGTGTACGTGCATGTATCTAAACACGAGACAGCACAGTGATTAGAGAACACAGGAATCTGATAATGGCTTCATGTGCTTGAGCTTATTTAATTAGTGTCCTTTTGTTCCGTGTCGTATTGTAGTACATGGCGACTTGAACCACTTACAGGCGACCTAGGTCCTGGTATTGTCTGTATAAACAACGGCCCTCATGCAAAAGTCCACAGAACGAGTTCCACTGCACCTAATACCAGGCGCTCACTACTCCCAATACCAGGCGCTCACTACCCCCATTACCAGGCGCTCACTACGCCCGATACCAGGCGCTCAATACACCCATTACCAGGCGCTTACTACACCCAATACCAGGCCCTCACTACATCCATTACCAGGCACTCACTACACCCATTACCAGGGGCTCACTACACCCAATACCCGGCGCTCACTACACCCATTACCAGGCGCGCACTACACCCAATACCAGGCCCTCACTACATCCATTACCAGGCGCTCACTAGACCCAATACCAGGCGCTCACTACTCCCAATACCAGGCGCTCACTAGACCCAATACCAGGCGCTCAATACCCCCATGACCAGGCCTCACTACGCCCAATTCCAGGCGCTCAATACACCCATTACCAGGCGCGCACTACACCCAATACTAGGCGCTCACTACACCCAATTCCAGGCGCTCACTACCCCCAATACCAGGCGCTCACAACACCCGATACCAGGCGCTCAATACACCCATGACCAGGCCTCACTACGCCCAATTCCAGGCGCTCAATACACCCATTACCAGGCGCTCAATACACCCATTACCAGGCGCGCACTACACCCAATACTAGGCGCTCACTACACCCATTACAAGGCGCTCACTACACCCAATACCAGGCGCTCACTACACCCAATACTAGGCGCTCACTACACCCATTACTAGGCGCTCACTACACCCAATACCAGGCGCTCATTACACCAAATACCAGGCGCTCACTCACACTGACCTGATTAGGGTTAGGGTTACGAGTCCCACTACACCCAATACCAGGCGTGCACACACACTGACCTGATTAGGGTTACGAGTCCCACTACACCCTATACCAGGCGCTCACACACACTGACCTGATTTTATACCGCAGAGCCACCTTACTCAGTTGTTTATGAAATGACGTATTTGTTTTAAATAAATACCCATCCTACAGCTGTCTACACACAAACATCAAACTTGGTAAACAAGTATGGTTTGGAATACAAATTAGTTTGGTGGTTATGATCTAATGTATAACAAATTAGTTTGGTGGTTATATGTGTACGTACAGAAGCGATTTATCTTACAGATTTATATTTTTGAAGAAAATTACTATTTGATGCTTCTTTTCAAAGAGAACTGTGATGGTTTTATTGGCGAAATATAGCAATTCACCAAAATTGAAAATTTATTACATTTTTTCTATATTCTAGTATGCATAATCTGGTGCTAAGTACAATATACTTGTAGCAACACAATGGAAATCTTAATGTTATTTTAAGCATTTTTTTCTGGTTCATTAATTGATTGGTTAATTATTCAATTTGGAAAATACCAAATGAATACATTACAATGTACTTCTCCTTACCCAGCCAAGGACTGACAGAGAGCGTCGTTTGGTCAGTCGGTTCCTAAGGATATTGGTGAGAACCTTAGGTTTGTTAGAGCATTTGTAGGGAGAGGAATATTTGAGGATCCTAGCTCTACAGCGTTTATACAGGTGAGACTTCCTCCTGTCCATCACAGATGTTTACAGGTGAGGTCTGGAGTAGTTAGGCCTGGTCAGTACTGGTCAGTACTAGTATATATCTATAGTGTAGTACAACCTTCCACATTGATGTGTCTATCAAACTGACCAGTATACCACCAGCTGACACAGGCCCAGTCTATATAACTGGTCCCACAGCCAAATGACCACTACAGGTAAACACTAAAGTGACAGGTCAGTAATCACTGACCAGATGGTACACTGACCACCAGGTGTTGATGATGGCCAATTACTGTGTAATGTATTGACCAGAGGCTGTAGGTTTACCTTAGACTACAGGAAATTCACACCTGGATCTGGTCCAAGACAATACAGGTGTGAGTCTCCTAAAGGTCATTACACTTACCTGTCTCTTATACAGGATGTTCAATCATTACACTCATCATCACATAATTACACTGTCCAATGAATTCACCACCTTTATTTTTGCTGAATTAATCATCTTAATGTCTGAAGATTTATTGCACATTTTTATCAAATCTAAAAACAGATTTCATGCTCTATCTAACCTAATGTATGATAGTGACATGTTAACCAAAATTTGCCATCAGATAATATTGTACAGGATTTTAATTCAAAAATATATATTTTTTCAATTGAAAAAGTATTTTATTGACAATACATATATAATACAAACATATAAGTTAACATTAAAGAAGATGTTAGAACAGTATTGACAAAAGATTTAGACAACAGGCTTTGTCTATATCAGTCTTCTTCTATTTCCGGTAGCTATGTACAATGCTTAGTATATAAAATGTTGTAATTCGTTTTCCTCTCACACACATGCACACCCACATCAGCTTATGTCTAATACTCATTATAATATATCTGAACTGCATCTCTTGAATTCAGCTTTGATAGAAGATTATTATAGATTTCTATGTAATATTTGATTCTATAACTTTATTCTACTCATATTTTTTTTATAAATAAATTGATTTATAGTTTTATCAATAAATCTATATGTTTTTTCAATAAATCTATATGGTTTTTCAATAAATCTATATGGTTTTATCAATAAATTTATATAGTTTCCAATAAATCTATATGGTTTTATCAATAAATCTCTATAGTTTTATCAACAAATTTATGTAGTTTTATCAATAAATTTATAGTTTTATCAATAAATCTATAATGGTTTTATCAAAATAACTGAACTATTTCTATCAATATAACAGTTCTATTAATAGATATACTTATAATAGTTCCATCAACACATCTTTTATAGTTTCATTACTTGCCGTTAAAATATTTCTATTTTGTCAGATCAACACCACAGTACTTTGCTGACCAAAGGACTTTTGACCCGAAGACTGATGTGGACCAACCACACATGTAAACTAACCAACTCATTTGACCACTAAGCACCATATTAACTTCTTGGTGTGGTTGTTGCTGTTCCAGTCAATAACTGAAGAGGTCAAACAGAACAATTAGCAACAACCTACACTTCACTAAATTGTCTATGTACATCACACATCTTCTGGGATGTCACAGCTAGCCAGGTCTCAAACTGTCCTAACTCAGTACTCAGACCAAATAAAAATCATAGGTGTGTTTCTGATATCTGTGGAAAAAATCACAGGTAAGTCAATTGGAAAATCTTGTTCTTTTACATGAAACAAAGGTTCTGCAGAGATGACATCATGAATAACATCTCAACAGTACTTGTTTAAAATTGACATAAAGGCTTGTAGGGTAGCTTAAGGGTACAGTAGCACTAGAGATCAGGCTGTTAGGTTGTAGCCGTATATATATAGTACAGTAGCACTAGAGATCAGGCTGTTAGGTTGTAGCCGTATATATATAGTACAGTAGCACTAGAGATCAGGCTGTTAGGTTGTAGCCGTATATATATAGTACAGTAGCACTAGAGATCAGGCTGTTAGGTTGTAGCCGTATATATATAGTACAGTAGCACTAGAGATCAGGCTGTTAGGTTGTAGCCGTATATATATAGTACAGTAGCACTAGAGATCAGGCTGTTAGGTTGTAGCCGTATATATATAGTACAGTAGCACTAGAGATCAGGCTGTTAGGTTGTAGCCGTATATATATAGTACAGTAGCACTAGAGATCAGGCTGTTAGGTTGTAGCCGTATATATATAGTACAGTAGCACTAGAGATCAGGCTGTTAGGTTGTAGCCGTATATATATAGTACAGTAGCACTAGAGATCAGGCTGTTAGGTTGTAGCCGTATATATATAGTACAGTAGCACTAGAGATCAGGCTGTTAGGTTGTAGCCGTATATATAT